AATATATAAGTATGATTTTTAAAAAAATCTATTAGAGAAAGGCTTATAGAATTATCAGTGATCTTCTTATCCCTCCACCTCCACTCCCTATAAGAAATCACGACTGACTTTTCCTGGCGAAAACCTCCATATTCTAAAAGAGAAGTGATACTTAGACCTCTTTTTTGATTGACTCAGTGTAGATGAGGATTTTCCTCACACTCCCCAGTGCATTTCAGTCTGTGCAGTGAGCTAGATCCTTTCTTGATTACCTATAAACTCTACACCTATGTTTCCTGTTTCATCTCCTACTGACAGTGTCTCCTGATTTTCTGTTTGAAAGAGAAGAATATTCATCATTTTAAATGCAGCCTGTTTACATGTGAATTACATTAGTTACTATCTGATTATTTTACTCAAAGGAAAGAGGTAAACGTTTAGATGTTTTAGGTGGTATTCCTGGAGAGAATAAGGTTCTTTTGGAAACTTTACTGCAACTAATTCAATGTTCATTACATGAACTACTTATAAAACAATCTCAGAAGGTTGTCCTTGGCTTTTGTTAAGTCATTCTTTAGGTTTTGAACTTGCAGTCTTTGCTCTTATCTTCAATTTACCTGCAAGTTTACAATTTTTCATCTCAAATTCAATTTGCAAGGGAAAGCGAATAATAACAGAATAAGGCTCTTTTACTAAGTACTGTTGACAGTATCAAGAATTGTGAAGGAGCAGAGATTTCTCCCTACTTCCCAGCTAACAAGTTTGCTTGCCACAGCTTCATGAAAGCAGGCAGAAAACATGAGACCCGTAGGTCAGAGACAAAGGACATTATTAGTCACAGCACAGTAAGCAACATGACTTTCATGTTCTGATCTCTACTAGGGTCCCAGTGGGGGTACAGAGAGGCAGGTTCAGGTGGTTAGGCAGGTTTGGACCTGCCTCACCTTTGCCTCAAAAGGAGACATTATTTTTATTGTACTAGACAGCAAAAAAACATGCCCCTTGCCCAGAAGGGAAACGCTATCTCAATCTTCCAAGGTTTTTTGCTATAGAAACATTCTTGAAAAGATAGTCCTGAACAAAAGCCAGCACCATACATGTCTGAAGGAATTACAGCTACTAGGTATAACATTATCTAAACCAAGGATGCTATTACCTTCCTCATTGGCTTTTGGTGGAATCAAATGATAATACATCAAAGGGCTTACTATTGTTAGGTGTTCAATCAATGCTGACTACTCTTATACAATCACACATACTCAGATGAAAGAACTTTAATACTTGAGTTTCCCTCCTCCATCGTAAGAATCATATATGCTTCCTTTTTCCTTTTAAATAGACTTTAATTTTTTTAGAACAGTTTTAAGTTCACAGCAAAATTGAGAGGAAGGGGCAAAAATTTCCCCCATATTTCCTGCCCTCACACATACACAGTCTTTCTTCCACACCATCCACACTCCCCAGCAGAGTGGTACATGTTACCACTGATACACCTGACATTGACACATCATTATTACCCAGAGTCCGTAGTTCACATCAGGGTTCATTCGGTGTTGTATATTCTATGGGTTTGGAGAAATGAATAAAATGACACCCACCATTTGCAGTATTATAGAGAATAGTTCCACTGCCCTACAAGTAGTCTGTGTTTTGATTCATTCCTCCCTCCCCACAACCCCTGGTGGCCTCTAATCTTTCTACTGCCTTCATAGTTTTGCTCTACCTGGTGTCATACAGTTGGAATCTTATGGTATGGATGCTTCTTTTTTAAAAAAAACATACACGCATTTTGAAGATAAAGTCACCCACAACCTTCCTATGAAGTAGTACCTTTAACTTGATTAATTTCCTAATAATATCTTTTTAGGCAATTATTTTTAAAAAATTCCTTTTGTTTTTTAGAGAGTTTCATTTGTCACTAGTTTAATAACCTCCACAAAACTCTTTAAACTATTTAAGCCTATTTACGCTTTCTTTTTTTTTGAGATGGTCTCACTTTGTCATCCAGGCTGGAGTGCAGTGGCATGGTCTCAGCTCACTGCAGCCTCAACCTCCTAAGCTCAAGTAATCTCACCACCTCAGCCTCTGTGGTGGCTGAAATGACAGGTATGTGCCACCACATCTGGCTAATTTTGTGGATTTTTTGTAGAGAACAGGTCCCTACAAAATTATGTTCTTGCCCAAGCTGGTCTCAAACCCCTGGGCTCAAGCAATTCTCCTGCCTCGGCCTCCCAAAGTGCTAGGATTATAGGCGTGAGCCACTGCACCCGGCCCAGTCAGGATGGGGTAGTTTATGCTGTGTCACAATAAAAAGGCTTATTTCTCGTTCACACTACATGTGCGTCCTGTGGTCATGGGGTTCTCATCATGGTCACTCAAGGACAGCCACCATCATGTTGTTAGTTTTGAAAATAAATGCTCAAAACTCAAGACCAGAATGTCACATGGCTGCACCAAGTCACGAGGCCAAAAAGAACAATCCTACCACGTGCCAGGTAGGCAGAGCTGGAAATATTGGTGAACCAGATTCATGACTACCAGTTTACACTGTGACTGCCATGACTAACAGCTACACTGTGGGTAGCAGAAATAAGAATCAACTTACAATTTGTTGCCCATTTAAATAAGTGAAATATATATTTTTAAGTTCCAGGAATTAATCAAAGCAAATAAAGAGGATGAAACTCCCAAAATCTTAATATATAATGTGGCAAACATTTCCTCTTTGCCTATTGTGCTAAAAATACAAAGCACTTGAGTGAAGTTTATCTGAAGCCTCTGGGTTATTAATCAAGAAATTTTAATATTGCTAATATCAAAATCACGTTCTTTTTCTAAGTGGGGCTGTTAAATTGAGCTAAAAGAATGCTCAAACCTATGCCCACTGCAATTCTATAATAGTAATGTTGTGAGATGAAAGGAGTAAGCAGGAAACAGGAGAATAGAATCAGGTTGCAGGAACTTACACCTCTTCTCATATATACTTATTATATGTGTCTATATACACACACATACATACATATTTTTCTAGTTCTCTTTATATATATCTATATATCTCTCTCTATATTGTCCCTTGATACGTATCGTCACAGAAATTTTTATCCATTTCGAGAGAAAGAGAAGAGCTGATAATAAAAATCTAAGTGACAGTATGTTTGTTCTCAGAATCACTTAGAAAATTTGCTTAATCTGTGTATGTTCTTGGGACAATCTAATTTCACCTTAGCAGTAGGCAAGTGATAGAACATTTTTTATAAGATCAAAGTTAAAAAAAAAAAAACAAAAAAACAAAAAAACAAAAAAAAAAACAAAAAAAAAACTTGCCAGAATGGGAAAGAAAATTCTGCAACTAGATGCCTTACCTTATGCTCTGCAATAAGCAGGCAATCTCTACAATGATACAACCAGGATAGATGTGAGGCAAACCACCAGCTCCTGTCTGGCATAAAAAGTTAAATCATGATTACATTTTCGAAGGCTCCCTTACCAAGCTGCTTTCTTGCCTTTCCCATTTTAGTGAAGCACTTCCAAATTCAATGTATTTCTGACTGACTCACAGTTCTTTCCCAGCTGTGTTATTAATATTTCACCATTTCCTACATGTATTACCACAACCCCAGTGAATACTGGTATCACAACATCATTAAGGAGGTTTCCTCTTTACACACCATCACTAGGGACACACAAACAATTCTTTACAAAAGAAACAAGACACATCTGTATTATTTAAGTAATATTACAGTCAAAACTCAAACTTTAAAAATGTATTTCCAAAGTAATTCCATTACTTAAGATACATAGGGAAGTTATCTCTATGAAGAAGAATGTGAGAATGTGAGTTAAAAACAAAACATCTTTTTTTTTTTTTTTTTTTTTTTTTGATGGAGTTTTGCTGTTGTTGCCCAGGCTGGAGTACCATGGTGCAATCTCGGCTCACTGCAACCTCCACCTCCCAGGTTCAAGTGATTCTCCTGCCTCAGCCTCCTGAGTAGCTAGGATTACAGGCGCCCACCACCACATCCGGCTAATTTTTTGTATTTTTAGTAGAGATGGGGTTTCACTATGTTGTCCAGGCTGGCCTCGAACTCCTGACCTCAGGCAATCCACCTGCCTCGGCCTCCCAAAGTGCTGGGATTACAGACATAACTGCTCCCAGCCAAAAGAAAACATATTTTAGAATTGTAAGTGGATAGCTTCTGTCAGCTAAACTCTTAATTTGCTGGGAAGTGACAGGCTATGAATACTTCATTCTCCTTTTCCTGGTGATTTTGTAAATGAATGCCTTATTTATTTACAGAAAGCAAATATGCAAAATCAAAGTATCATCTTAAAGTACCACAAGTTTAAATGTTTTTTGTTTTTCTTTTTCCAAAGTCCAGCACCAGGTTTAAGTGGGCTGGCATACCTCAGCAAACCCTGAAGAGTAAGATTCCCTCTCTGAGGGCGTGAAGCATAGGGCTGCTTCCTTATTAACCTTCAGGCTGCCATTAGTAGTTGCCAACTCCAGGTTTCGAGTCCTCATTTATGGAGAATCTGATTTAGTGGCACAGAGACATGTTTAAAGAGGCTCCCCAGATAATTCTGATACATAGCAAGGTCTGAGAACAAGTGACCTACACTGTTTTGTTTTGTTTTTTGAGACAAGGTCTTGCTCTGTCACCCAGGCTGGTATGAAGTGGTACAATCTCAGCTCACCGTAGCCTCCTCCTCCCAGGTTCAAGTGATTCTACTGCCTAAGCTTCCTGAGTAGCTGGGAGTACAGGCACGTGCCACCACATCCAGCTAATTTTGTACTTTTAATAAAGAAGGGGTTTCTCCACGTTGGTCAGGCTGGTCTCAAAGTCTCGACTCAGGTGAGCAGCTCACCTTGGCCTCCCAAAGTGCTGGGATTACATTGTGAGCCACCGTGCCTGGCCCTTACATTGTTCTTAAAATGATAGGGTTCTCCCCTAAATTACAAAGAACCCTAAACATTAAGATGGGCATAGAAAAAAACGGCAGAAATACTAAAGTTTGAAGACAATATCACACATATATATTTATTAATGACTGTTGATTAAAAAGACTTTGAAGGAGTAATACTGCTGAGAAAGCACGCAACTTCTGTAGAATTGTCATACAGTTAATCAGAAGTCAGAAAACATACCAAGCTAAACAATGTATTTCTTGACTCCTAACTGCAATATACACCTCTGCACAGGGATTAGTAAAATTATAGTACAGATCAACTTCCCCAAATCATTTTTAAAAGAAATGATCAATACTAAATATTAGCAGCTAAAAGATCATAGATTTTTGTGGCTTCAGAACTTTCACACACTGAAAGCTCCAACAGAGGAAAAAAGCAGAGAAAATCAACATAATTGCTCATCAGAAGATTGCTTCTTGTTTCTCATATGTGCAAAACAAAGAGCATCTCATATTCTTAATATCATTTGCCTTCCTCAAGGTTTTAGGGAATATTAGGTAAAACCAATAATCAGCGATAAGAGATGCATCACTGTAACATACTAAAATTCAATCAAGACTGATCGTGCTGATACTCACTGCTATTTTTGGGGGAGTGTTCTGAAAAATTTGTATACTCTATTATTTTAAGCCTCTAAATATGATGATTTCTTTTGGCTTTAATATATCACTGTGGAAATAAATCTTAACGTAGCAATTTTTTGCAACACTGATCAGAAATCCAAATGTCACTTAAAACTTACATATATACAAAACACAGGCATATACATATACATATACATATACATGTTCATCTTCTGAGAATATAAAAAAGGTTAAATAAAAATAGATGATAAAATTTCAGATACAGAGATTGCCACTTCAACATAAATTTATTTTTGTGTTTATTTTGCAAACACTTTAGAGCATGAGGAACACTAGGTGATAACAGTGATGACTTTCCAGCCTTTCTTTCTTCTTTAAATACAGATGTTGACAAAAAAGATGGATTAGATGCAGTCCACTTTTTCCTCAGTTGGCTGTTGTTTTTCGGAATTATAAACCATGAAACTAAACTGGGTAAATGTTGAAAGTTTATTGCAAGCAGCACCTGGCGCCAAAAATGAGAAAGATGTTTGGTTAACTCTAGGATGCATGTATTTCTAACCAATGCAGAGACTGCTGATTTAACTAGACATTGGCTACTACATACCTTACATCTAACTAGGCCACGTGGAAGCACACTAGTGTCACCCTCCTGAGGACTGAGCCATGAACAGTCCACAAAAAGAAAGAGGTGGCAGGTAAGCTAACTCTTTGAACTTCAAAAAAACTGGCTGATTTTTCTTCTTGTTGATCTATACGCACGCTGTCATTGCTACTATTATGTAACTGCTCTTATTTTTTTCTTAGAAAAAATTATTCCGGCACACACCCCACATTTTATTTCTCTAGCCACTAGAACATTCTCATCATTCATCCCTAACCCCACACCCCACCATTGCTCCCTATTCTGCTCTCACAGAGTCAAGAGTAATTGTCAACATGCTTTGTCTATTCAAGCCCAACTTTTCTTGCTCAAACACCTCAGGGAGGGTCATTACTTTAAATATAAGAAACGAGTCAACTGTACATTCATCCACAATTACATAATTACTATTTTTTTCATTCCATTATATCCAACTCTGAGCTTTCTAATAAGGTTTATTACTTAAGAGGGAATCAATAAAACTGCCTTATCTGATACATAAAGCTTTTCCTCTTCATAATTTTTATTGACTTTTGTGTCTTCATACTTAAAAAAAGAATAAAGCATTCTTCAAACAAGTTTTTCAAATACAGAACTGTGGGAAGTAAAAGATCAAAGAACAGTAATAAGCAGTCCAACCTAATAAGTCACATTGATCAGTAAGCTGCGTATTTTCTCCATCTGAAAATTCACTAATGAGAATCAGCAGTGGCTGATCTTAAAATTCTTTGAAACCATGATAGGCTCATATGGAAAATAAATGAAGCAAAAGACAAGCCTCAAACAGTGCAAAAAATAATTCTGCTAACCTCTTTGGTTTACTAATTAGTAATACATTTTGTTCTTTGGAGCCCCGAGCAGATCTAAATGGCTGAGGCATTTAATAATGAATAGAAAAGAAATAGGGAAGATAATTTATCCTTGTCTATTTCTAATTAGTATAAACATTTGACTAGATTAGCCCATCTCAACATGTACTGGAAGCTGAAGTTTAGCTGAAGCTAAACTTCATTTAAGACACGTGTGAAGGGTAAGAACTACTAGTCAACGCCTGGCTCATAACTACCAGCGGTCAACCGAAAGAAGATTTTAGGTATATATACTTTTAACACTGTGGGTCTTGACAGATCATCCATTAATACTCAGTGCCTGCTTAAGGAGTCTCCTTTTCTATTGAATATAGTGTATTGTATATTACAATATTTAAAAAGTGTATGTTTTATAAATATTTGGAAGTTCACACAAATACAAAATCCAAACACAACTTACCATAACTTCCAGTCATATTGGCACATATAACAGCCCCAAAGAATTCCGGAAAATACTTCTGGATTCTGGAGATCACTTTTTGGCAAGCTATGGTTGGATCCTCTCCTCCTCTCATGTATTCTACAGCTTGATAGCTGATTGGAACAGAGGTGAAACCTTAGTGTCACAGAATAAATACAACTCTGAATTGAGTTACTTGAAGTCAGAAATTAAAAGCACCAAAATTGCCACATTAGATAGAATACACACAAATGAACAGTAGTTATTTCTGTTAAAGCATCTACAAAGCGAGTCAACCTTGACACAGTGTCCATCTTTTCAACTAATCCACCCATTAATTTCAGATATGGAATATTATTTTTGGCTTTGGCTGAGTAACTGTCAGTAGTAATGGCCAGAAGTCAAAAAGAATACAGGTTTTCTTTTTTTAATTTTGTTATTTTGTTTTATTATTATTATTTTTTAAGAGTTGGGGTTTCACCATGTTGGCCAGCCTGTTTGCAAACTCCTGACCTTCAGGTGATCCACCCACCTCGGCCTCCCAAAGTGGGAGGATTATAAGCACGAGCCACTATGCTCAGGCCAAGAATACAGGTTTTCAATGAGAAAAGCAGCTACAATCACAGGGGAAAGTACTGTGCATGGGCACAACATCCAGTTAGGATGATGGAACATCCTCCTTTTACCATCAATTATCACAGCTCCTTTACTCCACAGCTTTACATCAATTACCTAAATAGATCATTAAGTAGTATTATCTGGGAAGCAGGGTGGGAAATATATTTTATTTTCACAAGACTATGATTACTTCACTTGAATGATTATCATTATCAAAATGATAGGCAAAAAGTGTTTATGCAGTTTCTAGAAAGCCCTTGTGCACAAAAATTTAGATTACATAATAAAAAAATTCTTTTCTTTTTGTTTTTTTGAGACTGGGTCTCACTCTTGTCTTACTCTGGAGTGCAGTGGCATGATCACAGTTCACTGCAACCTCCATCTCCCAGGTTCAAGCGATTCTCCTGCCTCGGCCTCCGGAGTAGCTGGGACCTCGGACTTGTGCCACCACACCCAGCTAATTTTTTTTTTTTTGTATTTTTGGTAGAAATGGTCATGTTGGCCAGGCTGGTCTCGAACTCCTGACCCTGAGGTGATCCACCTGCCTTAGCCTCCCAAAGTGCTGGATTATAGGCATGAGCCACTGCATCTGGCCTCAAAAATTATTTTCTATCTTAAAAGAAAAATATCTTTCCAAAAGTCTCTAAAATTCACAAACTAAGAAGTCATACCTTGGTAGGAAGCGCATCAATATATCACCATCCCCAGTGGCTGCGGCTGCCCCCGCAGTATCGTCAGCATAGGCCCCAGCTCCAGGTATTGGTGAGTCTCCTACACGGCTTTGAGAGAGTATTAACAATGTGAGGCAGGAAATCGAGTGGCAAACACATTAAGTCATGAGCTGTTCCAAACAAGGGATATTTCTACTTAGCCTCTGATACTGTTTTATGTAAATTCTTCATCAGAACAAAGAGAGAACAGATTCTTATTAGTTTTTCAAATTAGGTTTTCACAAACCTACATTAATTATATAAGAATTTAGCACGGCGCAGTGGCTCATGCCTGTAATCCCAGCACCTTGGGAAACCAAGTTGGGTGGATCACGAGGTCACAAGTTCAAGACCAGCCTGGCCAACATGGTGAAACCCCGTCTCTACTAAAAATACAAAAATTAGCTGGGCATGGTGGCGCGTGCCTGTAGTTCCAGCTACTTGGGAGGCTGAGGCAGGAGAACTGCTTGAACAGGGACCTGGGAGGCAGAGGTTGCAGTGAGCCAAGATCTTGCCACTGTCCTCCAGCTTGGGATACAGAGTGAGACTCTGTCTCAAAAACAAACAAACAAACAAAAAGACTTGTTATCAGTTGTGGAGTGTAAAACAGTTGAAACATAGAAACACAGTCTCACAGAAACACATAGAAACATAGTCTCATAGAAACAGAGACTAAAATGGTGTTTACCGGAGGCTGGGGGAGGGGGACCTGGTGAGACGTGGGTCGAAGCACACGCAATTCCAGTTAGGCAGGAGGGTGAGTTCCAGAGACCTACTGCAGATCATGCTGACTAAGGCTGATAACAACAGAGTGCACATTTGAAAACTGCTAAGTAGATTTTTTTTTTTTTTTTTTGAGATGCGGTCTCACTCTGTCATCCAGCCTGGAGTGCAATGGCGTGATCTCAGCTCACTGCAACCTCTGCCTCCTGGGTTCAAGTGAGTCTTTCTGCCTCAGCCTGTTGAATAGCTGGGACTGCAGACAGGTGCCACCAAGCCTGGCTACATTTTTGTATTTTTTTTTTTTTTTTTAGTAGAGGCAGGGTTTCACCATATTGGCCAGCCTGGTGACCTCAGGTGATCTGCCTGCCTCAGCCTTCCAAAGTACTGGGATTACAGGGGTGAGCCACTGTGCTTGGCCAAAACTGCTAAGTAGATAGATTTTAAGTGTTCTCACCATAATAAAATAGGCATGTGAGATAAAATGTTAAACAGTTTGATTTAGCCATATTTAGCACCATATGTTAAACAGTTTGATTTAGCCATCAAAATATGCTGTACACAGCAAATACACAATTTCCACTGTCATTAAAATTAACTAATTTTTAAAAAGAACTTGTTATCAGCCAGGTATATGCCAAGATGGCACAGATTTATAGTGACTATTCTATTATTACCACCCTTTATCATCTAATTTCCAGATTACTGCAACATGTTCAAAATGGATTTCCCCTATCTATAATCTATTTCTGCTTCCTATGTAATGTGCCAAACTTTTACCAGAATTTTTTCTAGTAAAAAAGCTTTAATGCTTTTCTATTTCAAAATTAAATCCAGAATGCCTTAAACCGACTTATGACACCTGGAATCTAGCTCCCGTCTTCCCTTATCTTTCAATACCACTTACCCAACCCCAACAAACACACACACACACACACCCGCACATCCTTTTTCCTAGCCAGTGGGAGCCCTGAACACCCATACAAATACACACACACACACACACACACACACATACAAATACACACCAGTCAGAGCCCTGAGCATGCACATGCACACACACACTCCCCAGTGGGAGTCCTGAGCGTGCACACACATACACACACAATGGGAGCAATGAACACACATACACACACACCAGTCAGAGCCCTGAGCATGCACATGCACACATACACACCCCAGTGGGAGTCCTGAGTGTGCACACAAATACACAATGGGAGCCGTAAACACATACACACACACACACACACACCAGAGCCCTGAGCATGCGCATGCACACACACACACACACACACCCAGTGGGAGTTCTGAGCGTGCACATATACACACAATGGGAGCCGTGCACACATACACACACACCAGTCAGAGTCCTGCGCATGCATGCACACACACACACATACACATCCCCCACTGGGAGTTCTGAGTGTGCACACACATACACACACAATGGGAGCCGTGCACACATACACAAACATACACATTTTTCCCGGCCAGTGGGAGTCAACACACATTGAGACACACACACACACCAGTGGGAGCCTTGGGTATACACACACACACTCCTTCTTTCCAAGTCAGTGAGAGTTCTGAACACACGTACACACGCGCGCGCGCGCACACACACACACACACACACACAGAGCTTAGTGGGAGCTGTAAACACATATACACCTTTCCTAGCCAGTAGGAGTCCTGAACCTGAACTACCTTGGACTCCAAGCATCAGTTCACTGGTGTTCCTAACTGCCCCAGCTTTAAGACAGCACCTCTGCTACCCGTGAACTCTAAAGCACTGGCTGTGACTCCCTCTCCTGTGGCACTCAGAAGAGAGTACTGCATTTTCTTTCACGCTGCTCACTCATCACAGCTGCGAGGCCAGGGCTGTACTTTGCAACTCCATAGCACCTGGCATATATTGCTCTGCATTCAATGCAGATTTGAGAGCTTTGTTCTTTTGGAAACACTAACCCATGTATTTTGAATTTTATACCATTTGTAGATGTACCAGCAGCAATACGTCCTGTCTTATGGATTACAACGATGCCTAGAAGTGAAAAAAAAAATCACTGTAGGTGTATAAAGTGTACCTCAAATATAAGCAAGTAATGAAGCAGCTGGTAACTGTTATGGTCTGAATGTCTGTGTTCCCCCAAATTCACATCAACCACAAGGTGATGGTATCAAGAGGCAAGGCCCTGGGGAGCTGATTAGGTGATGAGGACAGAGCCCCCATGAATGGAATTCATGCCTTTATAAAAGAGGCCCCAGAGAGCTTCCTCACCCCTTCCCCCATGTGAGGACACAGCAAAAAGACACCATCCATGAGCCAGGAAACAAGCTCTCTCCAAACTCTGAACCTGCCAGCACCTTGATTTTGAACTTCCCGGCCTCCACAACTGTGAGAAATAAATTTCTGTTGTTTATAAGCCATCTAGTCTGGGTATTTTGTTATAGCAGCATGAACTGAATAAGAATGTAATGTTAATTTCCACTGTAACAGGCAATTAACATTATTATTATTAACAGATGGGGACTTTAAGAGGCGATTAGGCTAAAAATGTTCAATGCCACTACCACAGGGAGTGGGTTCCTGATATAATGGATGAGTTCTACTAGATTTCCTGTCTCAGTCTATTGCCTTCCACCTTGGGATGGCCCTTGCCAGACACCAGCACCTGTTCTTGAACTTCCCAGCCTTCGGAACTGTGAACCAAATAAATTTTTGTTCATAAATTACCCAGTGTGTGACAGTCTGTTATAGCAGTGAAAAACCAACTAAGATATAGACTAATGTTAAGTTTTCACCATTATAACTTGGAAAAAGGTATTTAAGGTCACTAAAATACCGCAACATAAAACTGCCAAGAAATGAAATATCAAAAGACTTAAAAATCCACAACTGAATAGTCATTTAAGTTTTAGGTGTCTTGTATAAATAATTTACCAGATGCTAAGACAAGATTGATCTACCTACAAAGAGAGGGGCACATTTAATTCACAGTTAAAACAATTGAAATCAACTTCGGTAGAATAGGGAAGAGCTACAGGAAGATAATTAACTAAACTTTATCCATAAAAACTGAACAGAAAGGCAAATTACCAATAGTATCATGACCACGATCATCTTCTGTTTCTTTATAGATAGGAATATCCTGCTTTAAGATGCCAGGTGGTTTGTAGGGTCCACAGTATTTTGAGGCATCTGGTATAACATTCTGTAAACAAGATTTAAATTTTCTTTCTTACAAAGGATGTTTTTAGAAATTGCCAAGTAATTATGTTCAGTCAACAATAGCAAGAAACCAAAAAGAGACATCTGGTAACTTAAGAATTAAAAGCTAAGAAATCACCAAATTTTATGTAAAAACAAATAGTTATATAATTTTACTAAATACCCATTCTAGTCTAAGAATTAAATACTATAGGTGAGGTATCTATATGGCATGAAACAGGTCCCTAATTTTTCTCTTTATATACCTAAAATTCTCAACACAATAGTAGATATAAATAAAGTTTTTAAAATTAGATATTAATCTTTAAAGAAATTAGATACACACTTGACCTTTAAATTTCAGAAATTTGTTCCTCGGCCAAAGAATTCTGAGATTTAAAGTAAAATACGTTTGAAAAGCTTTTGTTGTTTTTTCAAAGCTAGGTTTATGTGAATATATTCTAAGTTGTGCTTTAAGATTCCTTCATAAATCTTAAAGGCTCAAGAATATAAGCCAAACTCATAAATTTAGGTTGTGTATTTCGAGGGTATTAAAACGAGAAACCTATTCCTTTTCCTCATGTCTTACACATCAGGGCACTAAGGGCCTCCCCTAACTTCATTTTATGATTAGCCTCTTTCAAATGCTAACCCAAGGGACTTCTGACTTGTTAGCTACTTGGAAGTAATTAGGATTAGAGAAGAAATAGATGAGAGACTAAGATATATCACAGAAGGACCCTGTATGGCAAAGGCAAACTGATTTATGCTAAAAGTCCCATTAAAGACAAATTATTCCACTGGTAACATGCTAGAAACCTAATATTATAAGTCCTGAAGTCAAATAAGAACAAGATACTAGATACACGGCACATAGATAAAACGTAAGAAATGTTTTAGACGAATAGTTTCCAAACTGATTTTTTTAGACTTAGTTACAAGGAAAATCAAGCAGGGCAGCCCTGATTGAGGCAGCCCCTCCACACGGCAGAAACTTCAGTATGAAAACTATTGCGAGACACCAGTAGCTAGCTCTCCAAGCTGGATATTGCATCCGATGCAGCTAGGGAGGTTTCAGGAACATTCACACCTAAAAAGTCAACTAACACCACTGGCTCTAATGTACAGGCAGGATGCTAACCAGCACCCTAGACAACAGTGAGCAGAAAGGATGTTATTTAATATTTTCAATTAAAAAAAAATTAAATATCTATGCATACCCTCCAATAATTTGGCTGACAATTCCGAGCAAGCCAATTTGAATGAAGAGCTTGAGAAGCATTGGTAGATAAATCTTCACTGATAAACCCCATACTTTCAGCAAATTTGGTGGCTAGAGATTGAAAAAAAAGTAAAGTATGAATTATTCAAGTATTGTCTTTTCAACAAAAATATACGTACTAGAGGAGGCATTCTGGGTCAGCTGCACAAAGACTTTTTTTTTTTTTTTTTTTTTTTTTTGAGACAGAGTCCTGCTCTGTCACCGAGGCTGGAGTGCAGTGAGTGGCGCGATCTCGGCTCAGGGAACCCTCCGTCTCCTGGTTCAAGAGATTCTCCTGTCTCAGCCTCCTGAGTAGCTGGGACTACAGATGTGTGCCACCATGCCCGGCTAATTTTTTGTATTTTTAGTAGAGACAGAATTTCACTGTGTTAGCCAGGATGGTCTCAATCTCCTGACCTTGTGATTTGCCCACCTCAGCCTCCCAAAGTGCTGGGATTACAGGGGTAAGCCACCGCTCTTGGCAAACATAGAGACTTTCAAAGGAGTATTCATACATGAACAGTTTTAAGGGACTCAACTTTTAGACCTTCAATTTCCTTACATTCTTCCTAAAACTGATCTACTTAAAACCCTTGGGCTGTGCGTTATTAACGAAAGTTCTCTTCCCACCTCAGCTCCGCAATTTTCCTTCTTCCACTTCACAAAAGAAAAGGCACGCTTCTCACCAATCCTGAGTCTTAGAATTGCACTGAAACTGGACTGCAATGCCCCCGGGTATAAAACAAACTTTGAGACACCAGAGGAACAACAGAATTCCAATGAATGGGTAACAGGTCCTTTTACTTGTCAGGTAGTTTCTAATTCTGTAGATGCTACAAAATTGAGGGACGGCAAGTGGAGTTGTTAGATAATACACCATTAACAATAAATTTTGACTACAGGTTTCGGGTCCGTAATTAGGATGGTGTTCAAACAACAGACACCGCCAGGGCAAAACTTCCATTCCCTTCTTCTTAGAGATGAAGAAGTACAGAGATTTAGAAGTAACTTATCCAGTTAAACAGAAGTTAAGTAAAACAGCTGCAATTTGAACTTAGGTCTGTTTTTATACTACTTTTCAGTGAAAACTATAGTCGAAAGACTAGAAAAACTTTCAGTGTAGTTAAAAAATACCTGACTCTCCTACTAAAAGTGTGTGTGTTGTATGTTCCAGTATTTTCCGTGCCACACCAATAGCATTTTTAATTCGTCTAAGATCTCCTACTGCTCCTACATCCATAGTAGTCCTGCAAGAAAAAAGAATGCAGTTAAGAATTAAGGAGTTTTCAGAGGTTCATAGACTAAAAACATTGCTTTTCTTCAATCAATTGTGTTTTGTAGTTAAACTCTACCGTCTTAACACAGAAGTGACAGCACATCCATGAAGTTCATCTAGATTCCCATAGTCAGGCCAAATTAAAGAAAAAATAGAAAATCAATTTGCCATATACCAAAATAGCACTAAAATTCTTAGTTTCTCCAAGCTAATTTTAAATATGGCTTTTGAAAGGGGCCTGAAAGCTTCAGGTCAAGCAAACCACAGCGTTTGTGGACAGCAGGTAAACGATTGTTTATAAGGTTAGAGACATAGTTTTGCAGCTTGGTATTCTCCCAGTTCTAAGAAGATTTCTCTCTCCATGTTATATTCCTATTACTATGATTTTTTTTTTTTAGTTGAGAGGGAAACTGTGTTAAGAAAGGTCAAGTATAATAAGCTAGGGTTGTGTTTTGTTTTTTTTTGGATGAAGTCTTGCTCTGTCACTAGGCTGGAGTACAGTGCCATGATCTCACCTCACTGCAACCTCCGTCTCCCGGGTTCAAGCAACTTTCGTGTCTAAGCCTCCTGAGCAGCTGAGATTACAGGTGCATGTCACCATGCCCAGCTAATTTTTGCATTTTTAGTAAACATGGGGTTTCACCATGTTGGCCAGGATAGTCTCAATCTCTTAAGCTCTTATCATGATCCACGCACCTCAGCCTCCCAAAGTGCTGGGATTACAGGCGTGAACTACCACACCTGGCCATAAGCTAGCGGTTTTGACCTATGACAAAACTCATGCATTCTTCCATTTTGCTCTCAGTAGACCACAACTCTAAATGTAACTCAACATGAAGTGAAAATGCAGAAATAAATAGGACCTAAATGGTATTCTTACCCATCCATGATCATGGCATCTAGTGTGGTTTCTCCAAGTTCATCAGGACTTCCTCCAAAGCCTACGGAGCCGTCACACTGCTCTCTCTCACACACGGTACAGCCGTTCTCCACGGCATCCAGGGCAGAGCCTCCAGATGCTAATGCCCTCCACGCTGTTAATCAAATCCCAATATCGCTAATTTATATTTACGTATTTTTTTCAACACCAAATGCAACAAACCAACTCTGATTTTTAACAACTTTTTCACACTGACTCTGAGTTAAAGTGACTTTTTAACACATCAGTTTATCAAGTGCTACAAAGCAGTCAGAGTGATAAGAGGTGAAATTATTTAACTAGTTATCATGAAGAACTCTGTGTATGGGCAGAAAAGAAATTAGTATCCCCTTTTTTATTTTAAAAGGTATAATTGAAACTATTAAAAGGCAGTTAAATAAAAAATCCACTAAACCACAGCCTTCTTCATACATTTCTTCTGTATCATTAGATTATTAAAATATGCATAATTATTGGCAGGCCAAGGCAGGTGGATTATGAGGTCAGGAGTTCGAGACCAGCCCGGCCAACATGGTGAAACCCCATCTCTATTAAAAATACAAAAATTAGCCAGGTATGATGGCACACGCCTGTAATCCCAGTTAGGAGGCTGAGGCATGAGAAACGCTTGAACCTGGGTGGCAGAGGTTGCAACAAGCCAAGATTTGACCACTGCACTCCAGCCTGGCGCCAGAGTGAGACACCATCTCAAATAAATAAATAAATAAAAGCATAATTAATAGGTGTATTGAGGTAACACCTATCTCAGTTAAGTCTTAATAATACTGAACAGCAAACGATTACAACGTGGACTTCATGGAGATTAGTTCACTGAATCTTCATAATAGCTTCTGTGGTAGGTACTGTACAATCACGACTCTCATTTTAAAGAAAACGAAACAGAGCCAGAGGGGTCAGGCAGTTAGTTTAGGGTCACACTGCAGGTAAGTAGCAGAGCCAGGATCCCATACATTTGGGAGTGTGGGGGAAGGGTCTTCGATGGACAATTTCTTTTCCGGTAACAACAGAATTCTTTGAAGAGCAGGTGTTCTTGTTGGTACACACTTTAAGCATCACTACTGCACCCACAGGCTGGAAATCGTATTTACACCAAGTTCCCTCTTTCAATACAGGCATCTTACACAGAAGTGTCCCCACCCAGGCTGCTGCATTTTCTTTTCCTCTCATCGCTGGGGATATCTTTCTCACAGCCTGTTTCTTCATTTTCTCTGAATCATATGCACTGCCTATAACACAGAAATGTAGCTCCACAAAATTCTGGAGCCAATTCTGCCCCGGAAAATTAATATGTTAGCTACCTCAGATGGGGGAGGAGGGGTCTGAAAATGACGGTTCTGGTCATTAAGCAAATGAAAGCAGCATATTACAAAGCGAAAATGGTGAGATAACGGTATGTACAGGCCACTAACAAGGCGCAGAAGATAGTGCCCTAACTCATTCTGGGCACGAGGTAGGTTAAGTCAAGGAACACTTCCTGGAAGAGGTGATACCTTAGCTTAGTGGTTCTCAACCCTGTCTGTAGATTGAAATCATCTAGGAAGTTTTTTTTTTTTTTTTTTTACTGCCCGAGTTCCAGTAGTTAGATCAAAATCACGAGGTGGGCTGGGCCAGGATGATTTTTGAGAAGTTCTGCGGACAGTGTTAATTAATGTACAGCAAAGGTTGGAACCTCGAATTTTAGGTGGCAAGTAAACATGACAACACGTGGCACAAAAAAAAAAAAAAAAAGTAAACGGGAAAAGACTACGAAGACTATGCTATGGCTGGGACACTATTAGTCGTCTACAAAACTGCAGAGAAGTGAGGGATTCGAACGCGAGACGTCGTCAGCCCGTGAAAAGACCGGGAGTCAGGCCGAAAAGCGTAGGTGCTACTTGAGTAAAGCACAAATGCCCTAACTATGGCCAGCAGCAGGGTGGAAACGGATTGCGCTGCGGGCTGCATCACGGGAGGACGGAAAATGCAGCCGCGGTGGGTAGCGAGGACGAAGGCAAGGCCGCCTGCAAGAGACCGCGCGGCGCAGAAGCTGCAGGAAGACCCCGAGGGCGGGACCCCGCGGAGCGGCCCAGCCCGGCGCTCGCCCGCGCTCCCCGCCCCGTGACCGCAGCGGGGCGGGCTGGGCCTCCCCACCCGCAAACTCTCGCGGCGCAGCCACCCGCCCGGGCCGCCCACCCGCACCTGCTTCGGTTGCACTCTTAAAAGGCCAAGTGTTGAGGACCAGGGGCAGAGGGCTGGAGCCGCGCACTACGGCCTGGCCGAGCAGAAGCGGCGCGAGAAGCAGAAGCAAAGTCGACTTCCCCGCCATCGCTGAGCGCCGGGGGCACCAGCGCGAGAAAGGTCCCCGCGGCCGGCGATCGCGGAACTCGTCATTCCCAGCGTCCCGCCTGCCTGGCGGCCACGCCCACTTTCTCGGGGACGCGCCGAGCCCTCCCTCAAGTCTCGCGAGGCGTGGCGTCCCAGGGCCCGCGGGAGAGTTGGGTCATGCTGCTGCTGAGCTGTTCCCTGGCTTAAGGTGCTTCTTCCTAAGTGCTGTGCAGTTTTTTAAAATAGCCAAACAAAGTGGTGTTTTTCCTGTTGTTAACATAGATTTAGCTTGATATTGAGAAGTTAATACAAAATTATTCAACTCTGGGTTGCGGGACCCCAGGCACCTTAGCTGATTGCTGTGTCATATATATTTGGTTCTTACAGTCTTTTTAATTTAAAGTTGGAGTTGAAAAGTTTGTGAAACTCAGTATATTCTTGGGGATCCCAGGGCTCGGAGCTCTGCAGTAGTTACTGAGTCTAGGTGAAGTGTGTTTGCTTAGGACCGCATTGGTTTTAGATTTTCTTTCCATCCATAGCTTTCCGTCATTTTTGCACTACAGCTTTTTGTAGCTCTTCCTCTCTTTATAAATCCCTGAGCTGGAAGAAAAAGAGAAACAGCCTATGCACCCTCTGCCTAGCAGACTGATGCACCTTCCTGCACCTCCAGGGCAAGAAGGCTACCTCCATTCTTTTTTGAATGTATTTTTACCTTCCTGCCTGGCACTATTAAGTGCCAAATAAATGGATAAAAGGAGGAATGGGGACTTTATGTGCCTGGTGGAGGCTGCTCAGTTTTGTTGCTGGGCAAATGTGCAAGCATGAACTAGTAATCCCTGTGGGAGTCTGGAATGCCTGCTCATGTTGCCAAGGCACGACACATAACCAAATAATTTTTTAAAGCATCTATAAATCTATGCAACTTAAAAAGTATGAACTAGGCAGGAGTTGTGAGGCTTACAAAACCTTCAAGGCTCTTACTGATTGCTAGGAAATTAAATACATAATTTAAAGAAAATAAGATAGCCCAGAAGTATAGTTATCCCAAGTTGGGGAAGTGTTATTTAAAAGGTACAGTTAAAGAGAAATTTTATAAGTTCCTTCCATGGGGTTTGGAAGAGGAACAATTCATCTGTGCTGGAGTAATCAGCATAACCCAATGGCAGGTGAAATTAGAAACTTAGTGAAACAGGGTAGGAAAGCAATAAAAACATACATTGTCCTCTGAATAAGTTTTCCTTAGCACTTGGGCTGAGTATTTTTATGCAGCCTTAAGGAACTAGGACATGCCTTTAGCAAAAATCGTAAAATACAATATATGAAAAATTGGTCTCAGTACCCACTGATCTCTCTAGCCTCTTCCTACTTTTTAAGGTATTTGTGTTTCTTCTGGTTGAAAGAGCCTGCTCTGTTACCTCCTACTATCTTTATTCCTCCAGAATTCTTTCTTCTTAAATAAAAATTTCTATCAAAGAAACAGCTAACTTATACTATAGTGGGACTATCTGATAGAAGGTCCCAATATATTAAGTTTTCCATGGATATTTGTTTGTATGTATGTATGTATTTATTTATTTTGAGATGAGTCTTGCTGTGTCACCCAGGCTGGAGTTTAGTGATGTGATCTTGGCTTACTGCAACTTCCACCTCCCAGGTTCAAGGGAGTCTCCTGCCTCAGCCTCCTGAGTAGCTGGGACTGCCTGCCACCAAGCCTGGCTAATTTTTATGTTTTTAGTAGAGACGGGTTTTACCATTTTCCCCAAGTTGATCTCGAACTCCTGACCTCAGGTGATCCAGCTGCCTCGACCTCCCCAAATGTTGGGATTACATGTGTGAGCCATAGCACCTGGCCAGATGTTTGTATTTAAATAATTAATATGCAATCCCTAAAGAATCTACCCTATTCAGTGTCTTCTTAATGGCTGCTAAAATACCCACTGGGTCCACTGTCCAGTTTGCCTAAACTAATTGTCATTTCTGTAGCTATTTCTTAAACAAGTTAAATTTGCCTGGATATTTGGGTTCCTACTGGACTAATTTTCCTTTGATTAACTCTTGAAGAATAATTTTCATTTTAGTCCTAGGAGTAACCTTCTGTTACTCTCACTTAGGTGTTCAGTTGGGTCTAAATATAATTAGATCCTTTGCCTTTATCTTGAGGTAAATGTAAATGAAAAAGGACACCTGTTAGCAGGTAGTGAAGGGGAAGGAAAGTGCTGGGAAGGGAAGGGAAGGGAAGGGCATGGTCCCTTTAAATGATACAGAAGGGAGAAGCGACGTGTTGGGTAGAGGAGGGCATGGTTCCCGCCTAGGGCTTCACCCTGGGGCTTGTGCCCATCGACTTAGGTGAAGATAGGGATTTTTGTTTTCCAGCTCAGTTGTTACATTTCCCATGACAACCCTGCCATGCCCCCATCATGTGCCTATTAAAACTCCAAGACCCTAGCAGGCAGACACACAGGCAGCTGAATGCTGAGAGGAGCACATCAGCAGAGGAATACCCAGGCGGCTGGATGTTGAGAGGAACGCATTGGCACAGGAGCACAGCGGCATGCTGGCAGGCCATTGACCCATGGAAGGATGTGGAGTTTGGCCAGGGCGGTCAGTGAAGTCAGGCCACCCACAGACCTGATTCCAGGAGAAAACCATCTCCCTTCTGGCTCCCCCATCTGCTGAGAGCTACTTCCACTCAATATACTCTGCACTCATTCTCCAAGCCCACGTGTGATCCCATTCTTCCAGTACAGCAAGGCAAGAACCCAGGATACAGACAGCCCTCTGTCCTTGCCATAAGGCAGGGGTCTAACTGAGCTGGCTAACACAAGCTACCTACAGAGGCTAAACTAAAAGAGCCCCCTGTAATACAGACGCACTGGGGCTTCAGCTGTAAACATTCAACCCTAGACACTGCCGCAGGGTCAGAGCCCCACAGCCTGCCCATCTGTAGGCTCCCCTAGAGGTTTGAGCAGCTGGGTACTGAAGAAGCGAGCCACTCCCCTGTCATATGCCCTGTGAGGGGGACAAGGGAGCCTTTCCGGTTTCAGTAGTAGACCATGAAATAAATGGCCCTCAGTTTTTCCAGCATCCTCTTCAATTTTTCATTCTTTTAAATCATTATACATAAGGGCAGAGATACTTAGTGTTACTGATAAATCAAAAGAACTATTTGTAAAATTATTTAAATGTAGAATGCATTACACAATTTTGTTTGGCAAAATGTTTCTGCTCCTAAATAGAGCTTACTTATAACTAGCAACAGTAGGAGGATTTTCAAGGCTTAGATTTTAAAACTTAGGGTGTGACCATGCCCGGTGACTCACATCTGTAATCCCAGCACTTTGGGAGCTGATGTGGGTGGATGGCTTGAGCCCAGGAGTTCGAGAACAGTCTGGGCAACATGTGAGATTCCTGTCTCAATAATAGTAATAATCAACATCATAATAAAACTGCATATCAGCTGTAGTTAACTCATGTAATCTTCCTAAGCCACACTTTGCTCATCTATAAAATGGAGATAATAATAGTGTTCTTATTTTACAAAGCTTTGTGAATGCGGTAGGAGATGTGGGAGAATGTTAGAATGCTAGGCAAATTAAATTAAATTCTCTTATTTAATTGGCCATTCCCAAGTATCTATAATTGCTGTCAAGGAGGCAGTCCAGAAACATATAAGGCAACAAAAAGAAATTAATTTGAGATACAGAAATTTCTACCGGAAGAATAAAGAATTGGCTCAATACCTATAATGCATTTTAAAGTAATCACTTAGCATTTTCCTGAATATATTAAATGAGAATAAAAAATAATGTTTTTAGTCCACTTTGAGCTGCCTAAAATTTGGTTTAAATACTTACAAAGACAGTACATGACAGGGCTGTGAGATTTCTGGATGTCTTAAAAGCAGCACCCTTAAGTCTTAACAAAGAGAAAGCCTCAAATGGAACCTTAAATGATGTTACAAATAGAGCCTTTGTGTGTGTGTGTATGTGTGTGTGTTGGAGGTGGGCGGGGGAGTTTCAGACAGTTGCAGGGTCTCTATTTCCTCTAAACTCCCTGGCTTTCAATTTATCAGTCTCAGAAGGATGAAGAGTTGAGTCCCTCCTGATAGCATTTGAAGCTGTAGTTCCACAGAGGATTTAATGCTGTAGTTGCAGGGAGTCTAGGTATTTCAATTCTAAGGCTTAAAAAACTAAGCCATCCCCTCCAGCTTTTGCACTGATGCTGTGAAATCCATTTGAGAAACATGTCCATGTTTTGCTACTTGTTCAAAGCTGTAAGCGTGACTTGGCATTGAAATAATAATTTCTTTTTCAAAACTTCCCGCTGAACTATTACTTAGGTTATCTAAATACAGGCTATTTACTTGATTGGCATTTGCTGTTGTCAGTTTAACAAAGTGTAAGTAATGATTTTTCAGATGTTAGAGCACTGTGGTACTCTGTTTCTAATTTAAATCAATGTCTACATTAATCTGGGAACACTTGATGTTACTACCTGATTGTACATTCTGGATGTAATTAGACTCATTATACAGAAATAAGTGTCATCTTCTTATTCTCTAAATGAGAAAAGAGAGCATTCTTCTTTTATGAAATAATTTTTCTGGGTCATGCCCCCAAAACCGTTTGTCAAATCAATAGTAGATTCTAATCGCAAACTTTTTTGACCTTTTAACCTTTGAAAGTCATCTTAGTGACTTACAAAGACCAAGATTGTACAGTAGAATGTGGGCCTATTATTCCTTATCAAAATAAATTATGTACAACATACTTTCAATGTGTAATTACAATACTGGGCCACTGCTGTGATATGGTTTTCATAACAAAGCCATAGTAGACTATTCAACATGGTGGATCTTCCTTTTTACGACAGTTGTTTGTAACATTATGATGTCTTCATAAGTGTGATCCATTACAACATTAAAGCCTTAGGGCCACAGAATAGATGTCAGGATGTCTTCCTACCACTTTAAAAATCACTTTGACATTGTTAAGGTAGTGTGGCAGATGATTTCAGTAAACAAATCCAACAATAAAAGCAAACGTCTAAACTAACAGTGACTTATAGGAAGTACATTATGCATTTAAAATGCTATCCACTTGTTGATCAAGATCATGTGTATT